GGAGCTGTTTGCAAAGGAAGAGTGGTCCAAAATCCGGGTGAGAGGTGTCAGAAGCTTATTGATGGTTATAGGAAGCGACTGATTTCAGTTATGTTTTCCAAAGGGTGTGCAACCAAATATTAAGTTAAGGGTGCCAATACTTTTGTCCAGCCCATTTTTGGGGTTTTGTGTGACATTATGTCATATTTGCTTTTCTGCCTCTTGTTTTATATTTGTTCCAATACATACAAAGGGAATAAACATGTGTATAGCAAAACATGTGTTAATGCAATACCTTTTTTGTGTGAAATACTTGATTTTCAGGAAAAATATCAAGGGTGCCAACAATTTCGGCCATGACTGTATATATAAAAAATATATATATAGTACATTCACATCAGTCCCTAACCCTGATGGGGTGTACAATCTAAGGTCCCTAACTTACATTCATACATACGCATACTAGGGCCAGTTTAGACAGATTCCAGTTAACCTACCAGCATGTCTTTGGAGTATGGACGGAAACCGGAGTACCCGAAGGAAACCCACGCAGGCACAGAAAAAACATGCAAACTCCATGCAGGTGGTGCCATGGCTGGGATTCGAACCCATGACCCCAGTACTGCCAAGCAGAAGTGCTAACCATTTAGCCACTGTGCTGCCCAAGGTAGATCTCCAACCAAAGCTTTTTTTTTCTCTTATAAGTTTTTGGATAGAGTAAGAAACGTTTAGAACCTCTGTTGGGTTTCAAAGTAGAATTCCATTAAACTGCAACTGAGCTCAAACAGCCAAAGGTTGAGTGACTTGTGGGCAATTTAACTGCACTTTGTTTTTTTTTGTCTTTTTAGCAAACCTGCTGCTGTAGTGGTGTTGCTAGTGAAAGGATTACAAGTGGTGACCAATCATAAGGTTTCAGAGAAAGAAAAATGTATCTTTATTCAAGCTCATGCTTTCATCAGCACAGTTAAAGCCCAAATCCAGGATTAGCAACTTATTTGATATAATACTTTTTTTATCCACAAAACCAGCGCATTTTTAATTTTAAGAGAGAGAAGCCAAAAATGTCACTACCTGTAACATCACCATACTGCAACCACTTTCTAAGCTCTAATCAGATTCCTGGGGAGGTTTTATATAGAAACATCTTGCCATTTCCTCCTGTGTTATTGGACACATATCCCATGATTCCCGACATCTGTTTTTTGTCTTTGTGCAGAATCACAGTAAGAGTTGTGGGCAGAGTGGTGTGCTGCTTTGCCGTAGTGTCTAATATGGCCAGAGCAGCACATCAAAGGCACAAAAGAGTACAGGTGACACCCTGGTACCAAACAAAGGTAGAGCGGGACAAGGGCAGGTGAGCTAAATAAATTGGCATTTTAATATACTCGACCACCAAAATATTCACATCACAAGCAGAGCTCTGAAAAATACACAGGGGCAATATGATGTATTTTTAATTTTTTGCCTGGCATTTGCCTTTAAAGGTCTATGCACAGCTTTGAAGCACAGTAAAAAGGTGTCCCTCTGAGTCTTTTAGTTCACTAAATGGAACTGTATGAAAATTTGGTGTGAATGAGTTTCAATATAAAAAGTGTATAAACCAGCTACATTATACTACTCATATGTGTAATATAGCATTTATAAACACACCGCAGAGACCTGAAGTATATGGGAACATGCATACAGAATTTCTGTCTGGTGAATATGGAAAAGTGGATCAAATTTCTGTAATCTAAATATAAACCAGCATCATTTAAATCTAGTAGAATTTATCACACATACACAGTACCGGCTGAAAGATTCTTATCCTTATATATCAGATTTATGGTTATGATCTGATGTAATCAGAATCCTAGCAATGTGAGGCTAAGCAGTATATATAATTCACGGCTTCGTATCTCTTCCCTTAGGGATCACACTTGTTTTCCATCAGGCCAGTGGAAAACAGCAGTAATTATTTGTGAAGCTTGCTATAGCAGTACTTTAGGGAGAACTTTATGGTGACGTTCACTTTAGCAAGAGTCATGTGATTAAGACAACTATTACTATTAGAAGAACAAGCCATTTCCAGGAAAGTGTGGCCTCTAGGGAATGGTTAAGGGAGAGTATTTAAGAAAAATCATTGCTTGAACAAGAGGTCATGCACTACAGAACGGAGTGAATAGCTGGCAGGAAACACAAGGGGAAGTATTATTCACCACTCCTCCATTAAAAAATATGCCTGCAACAACAAAAAAAATAATCTAAAAAAAAAGGTAGAAAAACGTAGAGAAAGTGGGAAATGAAAAAAAAGAAAAGAAAAAAAAGGCCAGCAATTGGCCCAGGCTTAAAGTAATGTTTTTTTTTTTTTTTACGTACAATTGAACTTCCAGTTTAAATCTGCTAGATACATTTTGGGTGCATCAAAATATAAGAGGTGCAAAGTCTTGTAGCTTTTTTTCTATAAAAAAACAGCTACAGCTTTAGTAGAACAGCCTGTCCCCTGCCAGCAGCTGCAGAATGGAAACCTTACTCTCTGCAAGAAGGCAGTGATGACATTAAAGAGGTCTGACATGCCCTCTAAGTTAAGGACAGAACTCGCCTACTTGAAAGGGGGGGGGGGGGGGGGGGGATCATGAGCTTTGCTGATTGCAGAGCTTCAAATCTGACATAGCAGATGGCGTGTTGGTCCTCTGCAATAAGGTCATTGCTTCCCCACAAACAGCAGGGGTCATGCTCTGCGGGGTCATGCTCTGCAGCTCACCGTAGGCTTTAGAAACAAAATGATGTGTAAGACATTGAACACATTTTTCCTGATGCACCTGAAATGTATGAAACACATTTAAACTTAGGGTTAAATTGGACTTTATGTACAACTTGAGCAGTCAAAAACATTACATCTTGTACCGATCTAAATTTTCTGGTACTTAAAAGTGCAACTGCAGGCAAACGTCTAGATAAGCAGTTTAAATACATTCATTATATAGGTCCCCTGTGTTACCTGCTAAATGATTTGTTGTTTTGTTCAGCCATGCCAGAGATGTACACACCTGTCACATTGAGCAGCCAGGAATATCACTCAATTACACCAATTCCATGCATATTTGTACAGAGGTGATGATTCCAGTTCACAGTCCAGTAAGCAGAGTGGAGCTGGAGCAGTGACACTTGCCTGCTTTTGCAATGTCATAGGCGGTATAAACACAAGACTGACTGTACAGATTTAGCAGGTAAAATAGTAAACATATCTAGATTAAATTTATTAAGCCATTTACCTGGAGCTCCACATTAAGAGCCCCTGTGGTGTTGACTGGCTTAATGGCAAAGCTGACCACTGTTCTCAGTAGCAGACACCTCCAGGTACCTGTCTTTATAGAGCACACAAGTAATCGAAAACATGCTCTATAAACCAAACTGGGAACAGAGCTTCCATAGCTGACATTAAAACCTGACTCCTGACTGCTTACTACTTTGTTAGTATCACAATTCCTGCTGAAAGGAAGATGGAGGTTTCAAGAAGGGGCAGGGCTATATAACCGCACACTTCCAATCACACTTTCCTTTACGGTGTATCCTGGGATTCAAGTCAAGTCATCTAGAGGTGCCAGCAACCAGGGAAAAGAGTTAACTTATCAATAAATCACCCTACAGATTTACTTTCAACTGTAAAAGAACAATGATGCTGAAACTTCTGCCAATCCACCTGAGCATGCGAGGTCATTAACAGATTTAGTCCTCATGCACACTGGATGTTTTTACAGCGGCTGTTTTTGGCTTTTGATGTTTTTTTCTACAGCCAGTAAACCCCCCAGCATGTTATCCTGTGTCCATGCACACAGACTGTAATCAACATTTTTTGGCAGGGACGTTTTTTTGACTGGAAAAAAAACCCAGAACTAGTGGGTTTCTACAGGAGTTCTTTAGCTGTAAAAATGCTCTAACACTGAGCAGCATTTCTGAACTTTTTGTGACTAAAAAAAAAAAAAATTTTTTTTTGGTCAACAAAAACTCTAAATAAAAGCTAAAATCACAACCACGAAAAAAACGCGGCAAAACACTAATAAAAAACGCTAAAAAAAAAAGCTGAAAAACACGTTTTTTTAACGTGACTTTACACAGCTAACGTTACCAGTGTTATTAAAACACCCCGTGTGCATGGAGCTGAAAGGGGATGATTAGGAAGGTTTCAATTTTACTAAAGTATTACTGCATTAGCATCTTGAATCATATTGCTTTAGCCCGGGTTCACACTGAGGTGCGGAATTCACAGCGGTTTCTGTGTGAATTCCGCACCGCATCACAATCGCACCCCGTTCATGCAAACTGCTGTGGGTGTGTATGTTAAGTTAACAACACCCTGAAATCAGTCCGCAAAATAAGGTGCGATGTGCAGGTGTGAAGACCCATGTGATCCGATTCTAGTGCGAACCCAAAAAAAGGGTCCTGCACCTCTTTTTGGCGCAGATGCGTGTGATTTGAGACATACTAAATGTATGGCTCAAAATCTCACCGCACAGAATTTGCATGTGATTTGCACAGAAATGAGATGAGGTTCCTGTGCAAATCACATGCGATATGCTTCACCACACAAGTGTGGACCCAGCTTAACAAAATTAGACCATCCATGTTTGATATCACAATATTTATGTATACTACAGTTATTTTAAAAGAGAAACAGACAGTAAAATCAAGTAAACTCCTGCCAGCAAAAAAAACAATGGCGCTGTGGGAGGGATTCAAGCCATTAAAATCGCATCATCTATGGGCTACGCCTAAGATTTTATCATACTCCAACTAGCTAACTTTTCAGTAACCAGTGTGCAACAGCACAGGAATAACATGAAGGAGATAGTTAACATTTCCCAATTTTTCCTTTCATCTTACTGGAATGACGGTGTATGAACAGACTAACACATTAAAAAAAAAAAAGTTCTGCTTGCTGTTAGGTACAGTATCTATAAATACACCTAAAAATACTCATGTAAGTTACCCACAACTAAATATATGATTAGTTTCTGGTAAAACACACTTCCATGATTCACCTGGCTAGGGGTGTTCTTGTTCAGGTGTAGAGTCGGTGCAGAGTCTCCCAAGAGAGTTTTCAATGGTTTGACTTCTGGTGTACTACTAGCACTACTTGCTGAGGACCCAGATATAGAGGCATGAACAGAAGCCACTACTCTGGCTTGTTTCTGGCGGTACATACCTGGAGGAACAAAGACAAAATTATTACAGCTCAATCAAAAAGCATGCAACTACAGAAATGGCTATATATACACACACAGTATATTCCAGGCTATTTCAAAACAAAATGCATGGCTAGATTTCAATTATGTGACTGCTAGACCACGTTAAATCCCACAAATTAGGGTTCAGGGCTTCTGTCAGCTTTTATTGCGTCTGTGGCTTCACTGGATACAGGATTTCCCATCACCGAGTAACCCATAAAAAATTGTCAAATGTTGTAGCCCTTCTGAACCCTACCCAAAACAGTTTCAGCTCTAAATGGAACCTAACATTTTGGTACTTTATACTATTTGCAAATGTATAAATTGATAAACTGATTTAAATCAATATGTTGAAAATGTGTATTTTGAAAATGGAGTTTTAATACACAGTTCTTTTACAGTGTCCAGAGCATTTTTTTTTTTTTTTTAAATGTGCAAAGCCCAGGGTTGTCTGCTTAAAGTGTTACTAAACCCACAACTGTAAAATCAGTCTGTATATGCAGTAAAGCATGTTTGTTATATTCACTGTGGAACCTAAGGGGTTAAACTTCTGCATTGTGTAAACATGCTGTTTGATCCTGACTTCTCTGATCCTCCCCTTCCTATCTCCTGATAAGACATAATAGCTTAGTAAGTATTGCTAGAGGGTTTTTTTTTTTTTTTTTTTTTCCTTTGGACAGTGCATTTGATCAGCACAGGGCCAATCAGATCAGGTGTTCCACATTCTCCTAGAGCAGAAAAAACTCCTCCTACAAGCTTTAACCAGTGCTCTGCCGAACACTGATAGATGTCACAAGACTGCTGTAACTGCTGAGAAAAGTATTTAGCAGTTTATATTTACTAATATAATTGCAATTCCATGTTCTGTGTACTTTAGGAGACCAGATAGAGTGAATGCAGAGTCCTGGGTTTAGTAACACTTTAAGCGATTCTATTTAACTAAAAATTCAACTGGCTCCTTATCACCTTATCAGCAAGCAGATGGGGTGGGGAGTGTACCTCCCCTGACACTTTCAGCTGGATGTGTGTGTTAGTAGTTTGAACCCGAGCATGTATATTCACAATGCAGCATGTATATTCACAACACAGACTATTTAAAGCATTTCAGTAAAGCCCCATACACCCGATGAGAATATTGGACGAATGATCATCCGTTTTCTTTGCATGCCAGTCTCATATTGAAAGTGAAGGTGTTACTAAAGTTACGAAAATTCTTGTGCAAAAGAAAGAAAATTCGGAAGTCATGTAATGTATTTGTATTGTATTTTTGGACAAAAACTGTATTGATTAACCAAAAATCGCACGATCTGGTAACAGACGAGAACATTTTTCGTGCTTGTCCCTTCAAATAATTTTGGACGAAAGCTGTGTACTAACGATCAGATTATTGTACGATCACTTTAAAAAGCGGTATTTTTCATACGATTTTCTGATCGTGTGTACTTGGCTTAAGTCACTACATAAAGTCTGAAGCTGCATTCTCAAGTGTGTCTATTGTATTCCCAAATTGAAGAGATGGGTAAATGGGAATTCATGTTAAAAAGGAGAAAAGTGAAATAGATCAATGACCTCAACATACTACAATCAATGGGTTGTAACAGAGATTTTGATTTCTTTTTAGGAGATGGGTGGTAGAGTGGTTAACATCATGTACTTTGTTCCACAGGTACTGCACTGTTCCAATGAAATTAGAAAAATAGGATATGATACACTTGAAGTCTAAGGTTTGAATGGAGGAGTTGCCATGTCTGGTTAGCATATGTCTGAGCTTGGGAGGAATGATACTATGTTGAGATGCGAATAATGACCTGAGGAACAGTCCAGTGGGGTGACCAGAAACAGTTATCTTTGTGATATTTTAACAATAGAGCAACTTTGAAATAAAGATGATTTAGCCTGCAGCAGTGTTATTGGTTAAATGCACACACATTTATACAAACATACATGTTATAAGCGTATGGTTCAAAAAAATGTGTTTAAAAAAACCCAAAAAACAAATGGAACTAGTTTTCCTGAAATATTGCTGGCCTAAACTGGGTCTTGCATATCTCCCATGATTCTAGGTCTGAATTATGCTGTATATACATAGATCAAACATACATTCACCAACCAATAGTACACAATTCACAGCATTAGAATACTAAAACTTGATATATGTCCTTACCCATCTCTTCTTTTCATATTTTTCTTGAAGGAATTCTTTCACTTTCTGTGGATCTCTAAAATCTGGGATTGCAGAAGACCTATCATCAAATAATCCTAGCCAAATTTGTTTGCACACCTAAAATAAACAAAGAAAACCATGATGTAATTACATGCTGTGATGATCAGGCTTTCTATTAATAAAACATCATGTGCCTATGCAACTTGAACAATCAAGGAAATTAAATCCGTTAGTATTCTGGCTGAAAGGTTCTATACAAACTGTTTACAGTGCCTTGATAAGTATTCATACATCTTGAAATTTTCCACATTTGGTCATGTTACAGGCAAAAACATAAATGTATTTTATTGAGATTTAATGTGATAGATCAACACAAAGTGGCATATAATTGTAAAGTGGAAGGAAAATAATAAATGGTTTTCACAATTGTTTACAAATAAATATCTGAAAAGTGTGGCATGCATTTGTATACAGCCCCCCTTACTTTGATACACCTAACTAAAATCTAGTGGAACCAATTGCCTTCAGAAGTCACCTAATTGGTAAATAGAGTCCACCTGTATGTAATTTAATCTCAGTATAAGTACAGCTGTTCTGTGAAGCATCACGAAGGCCAATGAACACACCAGACAGGTCAGGGATAAAGTTGGAGAAGTTTAAAGCAGGGTTAGGTTATAAAAAAAAAAACATCCCAAGCTTTAAACATCTCATGGAGCACTGTTGAATCCATCATCTGAAAATGTAAAAAGAGTATGGCACAACTGCAAACCTACCAAGACATGGCTGTCCTCCTAAACTGACAGGTCAGGCAAGGAGAGCATTAATCAGAGAAGCAGCCAAGAAGCCCATGGTAACTCTGGAGGAGCTGCAGAGATCCACAGCTCAGGCGGGTGAAGTATTTGTCATGCAATCCACAAATCTGGCCTTTATGGAAGAGTGGCAAGAAGAAAGCCATTGTTTGAAAGAAAGCCATAAGAAGTCCCGTTTGCAGTTTGTGAGAAGCCATGTGGGGGGACACAGCAAACATGTGGAAGAAGGTGCTCTGGTCAGATGAAACCAAAATTTAACTTTTTGGCCTAAAAGCAAAACGCTTTGTGTGGCGGAAATCGAACACTGCACATCACCCTGAACACACCATCCCCACTGTGAAACATGGTGGTGGCAGCATTATATTGTGGTGATGCTTTTCTTCAGCAGGGACAGGGAAGCTGGTCAGAGTTGATGGGAAGATGGATGGAGTCAAATACAGGGCAATCTTAGAAGAAAACATGTTCGAATCTGCAAAAGACTTGAGACTGGGGCAGAGGTTCGTCTTCCAGCAGGACAACGACCCTAAACATACCGCCAGAGCTGCAATGGAATGGTTTAGAACAAAGCATATTCATGTGCAAGAATGGCCCAGTCAAAGTCCAGACCTAAATCCAATTGAGGATCTGTGGGAAGACTTGAAAATTGCTGTTCTTGTTGTATTTGGCTGGGCACCCTCCATATACATGACCCTACCTATTAAATTGTGACCTTGCCATATTGTATCTACTATGACCTTTTTTTTCTCTAAATCACATTTGAAATTAGGGATGCACATACATTGTTGGCTGAAATGTGTCAGTCAAAAAGTGTCATCAGCATTTTGCCGATAGGAAAAAAGGTGCCGATAATGACCGCCGAAAAAACGCGATTTTGCCACATTTAGGGTGCGTTTTTTTATAGGTCCATTGACTCACAAAAATGCATCAAAACACAACACATGTGCATTTTTGAGAGGTTTTCAGTGCACTTCAGACCTGGTTCACACTAATGAAGTTTGCGTTTTGTCTATTTTGCAATCCATCTTGCATTTTTGCATGAGCGTTTTTGCTGCATTTTGCGCTTTTTTAAAAAAAAATTTGCCCAACTTCTTGCTGGGCAGATGAAAACTGCAAAATGCATCAAAAGCGCGGTAAACACATAAAAATTTGTCACGTTTGCGGTTAGAAAAGTCCCTGACCCTTTCCAAAAACACAGAAGCTAAAAAAAAAAAAAAAAAAAAAAAAAAAAAAAAAAAAAAAGAAGATGTGAGCGTGTCCCATAGGAAACCATATTAAATAGGCTGTAGTGCATTAGTGCAAAAAGCCCTTTAAAAAAATGCATTGGTGTGAACCAGCCCTCAATAGGGAGGTGCACTTTTGGTGTTTTTTTTAACTCACCAAATATGCACACAACTCCTCCGGTCACCCTCCTCCATCCTTTACTACCTCACCCACATCTTCAATCTCTCTCTCTCTACTGGCGCATTCCACTCCCCCCTAAAGCACGCGCACATCACCCCCATACTCAAAAAACCCTCCCTGGACCCCACCGACCTGAACAAACTTAGACCCATCTCCCTGCTGCCATTACTTCCAAGCTCCTTGAGCGCTTAGTCTACAATCGCCTATGCGCCCACCTCACTGATAACCTCCTCGATCCACTACAGTCTGGCTTCCGTCCCCTACACTCCACCGAAACTGCCCTACTCAAAATCACTAATGACCTGCTAACCGCCAAAGCTAATGGCCACTACTCAGTCCTCTTACTCCTCGACCTTTCCGCGGCCTTCGACACAGTCGACCACCCCCTCCTCCTTAACAAACTACACTCCCTTGGCATCAGAGACTCTTGCTCTCTCCTGGCTCTCCTCCTATCTATCCCAACGCTCCTTCAGCGTTACCTATAACGCTACCACCTCCCCCTCTCTCCCCCTCTCTGCTGGGGTCCCCCCAAGGCTCGGTCCTCGGGCCCCTTCTCCATCTACACCTTCTCCCTCGGCAAACTGATACACTCCCATGGCTTCAACTATCACCTCTACGCCGATGACACGCAAATTTACCTCTCCACCCCTCGCCTCACCCCTTCAGTCTCCGCCCGTATCACCCACCTACTGAACGACATATCAGACTGGATGTCGCTCCATTTCCTCAAATTGAACGTTTCCAAAACCGAGCTCCTGATTTTCCCCCCAGCCGTGCCCCCCTCCCCCCCACCCTCTCCATCATGACCAACAACGCCACCATCAGTCCCACCCCACAAGCCAAAGTCCTAGGTGTCACTCTAGACTCAAACCTGTCCTTCCAACCCCATGTCCAATCGTTGGCAAACTCACGCAGGCTCCACCTCCACAACATCTCCAAAATACGCTCGTTCCTAACCCCAGACACTACTAAACTACTCGTTCACTCCCTTATTATCTCACGTCTGGACTACTGCAACTCCCTTCTCACCGGCCTACCTCGTCGTAGACTATCCCCACTTCAGTCTATCCTGAACTCAGCGGCCAGACTCATCCACCTTACCAACCGCTCCGCATCTGCCACCCCACCCCCCCCCCCCCCCCCCCCCCCGTCATTCCCTCCACTGACTCCAGATTGCCCAACGCATTGAATTCAAACTACTAACACAGACATACAAAGCCATTCATAATGCTGCCCCAAACTACCTCACCGACCTGATACCCAAATACCACTCTACCCGTAATCTTCGCTCCTCACAAGACCTCCTACTTTCTAGCTCCCTGGTCTCCACCTCCTACGCCCGACTGCAGGACTTCTCCAGGACTTCCCCCATCCTCTGGAACTCACTACCCCAATCCATCAGACTGTCACCTACCCTCCTCACCTTTAGGCGCACCCTGAAAACCCATCTCTTCAGGGAAGCCTACCCCGCCCTCACCTAACTGCCGATCTCCTCCCACCACTCCATCTCCCACAGCCACTTCCTCCTGTACCACTATCCCCTCCCTCCTAGATTGTAAGCTCGAAAGAGCAGGGCCCTTGTCCCCCTCGTGTTCTGTTTTGTTACTGTATTGTCTCATGTACTGTCCCCCACTATAAACAGCGCTGAGCAAACCTTTTAGCGCTATATAAATACTGTATAATAATAATAATATGCACCAAAAATGCAGGATTTTTAACACTGCAAGCGCAACTGACCAGAGTGAAGACATACATTGAATTTAAATGGATGCATTTTTATTGAGCTGTCCTTGTTTTTTTTTTGTTTTATTAATGCAAAAACACTGCCAAAATGCTGCTCAGTGTGAAAGCAGCCTATTGGCCAAAAGGTGCTGAAAATAAATTCATATTCATTTAAATTCATGAAATTAATTAAAAAGTGGAATAATACAATTATACATAAAAAAAAAACATTGTCCATTTCAGTTTTCGGTCAAATGCATCCTGATTTTTTAGTTTCGGCCCAGTAATTTTCATTTTGCTGCACCACTATTTGAAAGTAAAAAAAACAAAAAACCTAGCCTCCCTAGACGAATTTCCCTTTTAGACAGGCCTCTTGCCTGTGCCATCCAAACTAATATTTTCCCATAACAAACTGCTAAACTTTATAAAAAGTGCTCTTTATGTGAGCAAGATTTCTGTAAAATTCTAGTTGCAGTCATATAAACAGAACACCTATACAAACCCAGCCATGCAGATATTCCCAGTATATGTCTGTACAACCATGGATGAGTGGATAAATTTACACAGTGGTATTGTATTTCGCATACCCCCTACCAAGCCAGGACTGCCTTGCCTGTTTAATTGATGAGTCTGCTACAGCATCTGGAACTGGAACTAATCATGTTAATTCGAGGAAAAGCAAATAAAGCCTGCGTTTTCTTGTCTTCTGAGAACCGTCATTTGGAGTTATGATTGTTTGCTACGTCTCAGTAAAAGTGTGTGAGACTTTGGAAGAATTTGATCTTAGTTGCCTTGTGACTCAGTCAGGTACTGGTGCTGCAATGGCTTCTGTAGAACTGTCCGATACAATGTTGCACAATGTCATTCTGAGAGTCAATCTGAAAGCCTAGGTGCACAACTGTGCATTTTTAGCGCAGAAAATACAATCCATACACCCTTCTTTCCTATGGGGCCTGTTCACAACTATGCAGTTTCCTGCAATGCATTTTTTGGAAAGGTGCAGGGACTTTTGGACACAGGACAGGGGCTCCATAGACATCAATGGAAGTGCATGAAAAATGCACATATTGTACATGCATTTTTGGTAGGGTTTTGTGTTTACACAACCAGTCTCATCCTACATACCTGATGAAGTCACATGTGCTGTGCCGCAACACGTAGGTGACGTGGTGACGCAATTTCTGA